CTGGTCTCTGGAGACTGAGGATGGCTGGGACAGAAGTCCTGGGGCTTGCGAGTGCATCTGCCGGTACTGAAGCATCTCAGATTTCGTGATAAAATATATCCATTCCTCCACCTCCTACCACATGACTGTGGACTATTGAAATGTTCTTTCAATTCAAATGGCCATGATGTCCACCGTCAACTTGATAAAATGGCCTTAGTTTCCAATTACTTGCAGTTGTGCTCACTTTTTTTGACGTGATATTTACTCTAATGACTTAGCATGCTGAGCTTTTTCCTGACACACTCAGTCGATGTTTGTCAGTGACCTAATCTATAACTAAAAGTAAAAAGGCCTCTGTTTTTTATTACCATCTCCAACAACAATTGTCTGTAAATGTTTGTTGTTACAGAGGTAAAATGCTCCCTAGAAGCTTGGTTTCAATTCTGAACTTTGATAAAAGACTGAATGTTTAAAAATTCTTCCAAAATGTAGAAAGGCATTCCAGACAGAGGATGTATTTATTTTTTTTAAATAGCAGAGAAAGCGTACAGAAACAGAATTTTTTTCAGATTCTGATTTTTTCTTTCCAGCTTTTTTGAGATGTACAAAGAAAATTATGTAGCTTTAAGGTGTACAATGTGTTAATTCGATACACTTACATATTATGAAATGATTATCACCCTAGAGTTAATGACCATCTCCATCACCACATGGTTACCATTTCTTCTTTGTGGTGAGAAATGTAACTTCTACCCTCTTGGCAACTGTCAACTATATAATACAGTATTAACTATAATCACCATGCTGTACCTTAGATTCCTCAAAACTTCTTCACCTTTTTTAAAGTTTATTTATTTGTTTGTTTGTTTGTTTTTGAGAGAGAGGGTGTGCAAGCAGGGGAAAAGGCAGAGAGAGGGGGAGACAGAGAACCCCAGCAGGCTCTGTGCTGTCAGCACAGAGCTCACCACGGGGCTCCATCCCATGAACCGCAGGATCGTGACCTGAGCCAAGATCAAGAGTCTGAGGCTTACCCCACTGAGCCACCCAGGTACCTCAAAATTTCTTCATCATATAACTGAAAGTTTGCACCCTTTGACCAACATGTCCCCATTTCTCCACCTCTCGGGCCCTGGTAACCAGCAGTCTACTTTCTAAAGAAACAGCAATTTATAACACTCAAAGCTCTAGATATGTAAGATGATTCCAAAGAAGTTTGAAAGGATGATGTAAGCACCTTTTTTTCCAAAGTAGTTTAGTCCAGTATCTACTAAACTACCCAGAACAAAAGATTTCTTTCTTTCCTTTTTTTTTTTCAACGTTTATTTATTTTTGGGACAGAGAGAGACAGAGCATGAACGGGGGAGGAGCAGAGAGAGAGGGAGACACAGAATCGGAAACAGGCTCCAGGCTCTGAGCCATCAGCCCAGAGCCTGATGCGGGGCTCGAACTCACGGACCGCGAGATCGTGACCTGGCTGAAGTCGGACGCTTAACCGACTGTGCCACCCAGGCGCCCCCAAAAGATTTATTTCTAATTACTTATGCAAAAAAAAATTACTGGAAAAAATGAAATTAAAAAAAAAAACCTACATCAAAAGTCTCAGTTTTTTACTATCAAATTCAGTAGAAACTTTGCAAAAATTTCTAAATATTTTTTTCTCTATGTCTGTACTTATTTTATTGTGACTCAGTAATAGTTCAGGGACAGGAACCAGGCTGTGAAGCAAACTTTGAGTAGCACTGGCTTAGTGGTCTTCATCCAACATATTTCTAATGTTTACTCCTAATTCCTATAGAGATCTTTGTTTTGCAGAAGGAAAATAAAACTGAGATTCTAATGAAAATCAGTGCCTCCCTTTTAAAAGTAGAAATATGTTTATATGTTAATCTTAAAATTATATTGTATTATCTTTTATAACCCAATAATTTTTGTAGTTGTCGAGGAAAAGAAAGCAAACACAGAATGAAAAAGAAAGGTATCCTAGAGTTATGCTATATCATTGATTTATAGTCACATGCAACATTTATATCTCATTTTTCCTTCTATGTAATCTAAGCAAGCATAATTCTTACTAGTACTCAGCATCCTGATAGTCAATTGGTTGGCATGATTTTCTTTGGAACAGGGTGTTATTTTTCTACTATTTCAAATGATACACTATTGATTCTCTAAGGAATATCAAGAACTATTACAGATTTTAAGACTAAACTAATAGTGTGGACAATGAATGTAAGAATGTTTTAGTGACTTGTTCCAAAATTTGAGATGCTCTGATTTGCTTCTGGCAATTCCAAGAGGTTAAATTGGCTTAATATTTTGTTTCACAGTAGAGGCTCATGATATTTTAACACCTTACGGGTGTGCCTTTCCTTTGAGGACACTGTCACCTCCCTTGATTCCTAGTTATTGAAGTGTTATGCCCCTTACTCCCTTGTACCCTGTCCCAAAAGCCTCTTGGCAGCTGGCCATGTGTATGGATGTGATGGTTTGGAATCCTTCCCTTTTGTCTCTGAATCACTTATTATCTTACTAATTAAAGCACCTCTTTCATTAGCTTATGATGAACTATGTAGAGCAATGTAGGGCACTTTGTATTAAAAGGCACATTAATGGCAATCCTATTAACATAAGCAAGACTCTCTCCCAATATCAGTCTATATCTTCTGTTCCTATCTCTCTGTCCCTCATGCTCTTTCTTTCTTTTTTTTTTTTTTTTTTCTAATTAGAATCCATTCTTACCTGGGGGGTGGGGAATGGCTTCAGTTCTCAACTTTTCCATTATTACAGTCAACCTGAAGTAGGGAAATGAGGTACAGAAAATAACGAAACTAGTGGCTCCTGGGTGGCTCAGTTGGCTAAGCATCTGACTTTGGCTCAGGCCATGATCTCACAGTTCATGAGTTCAAGTCTCACATCAGGCTCTGTGCTGACGGTCAGAACCTGGAGCCAGCTTTAGATTCTGTGTCTCCCTCTCTTTCTGCCCCTCCCCCACTCATTCTCTCTGTCTTTCTCAAAATAAACATTAAAGACAGGTTTTTAAGAAAATAATAAAGCCATTAAACTAAATATTTTTCTATATGAGGCTTCATGCAACTGGGACAAAATGAGTTAACCAAGCAAACTTTTTTTAATCTTATCTTTTTTATCCTATACTGCAGAGCTTTTATTCTACAACAAAGAAAAAACAATCGAAGTTGAAAAAAGATATACAATGTGTGATGAAGAAAATAAATATTCTTACAGAAATATGGATCATATATAATGTTGTATTTGTTGGTTTAAAAATAATTATTGAGGACTTACTATGCTCTAAGCTGGGAATACAGCAATGAATAAAACAGATAAACTTACATTCTAAAGAATTGGTGCAGAAGGTATTATTCAATAATTCAGTAAAATATGTGTAGTATAAAAATAGAATTTCAGTTGCAACATATAAAAACAAATTGATTTTGTAAAATAACATTAACATTAATTGGATACCCAGTAAATCTGACTGCTTTTGTTTGAAATATAAGAAAATTATGGTATTCTGGAGTATGGTAGGTAGCTTCCTATTGGGGAAAAGTATAATTTGACCATGTGTGCTTAACATTTTTGGGAATTTTTATTCTCTTTAATTATCTCAATGTTGGTTTCAAGCATTTAGGACTGCAAGTCACATTAAGAAATAGCCAGAATTTGAACATGGTGTAATCATAATCATTATTTTTAGTCTAAATGTTTATGTAGTTAAAGGATTTATTCCTTGAGCAAGGATTTGTTAAAGAAGACTGTAGAGGCCACTTTTAGGCAAACAGGCTTGAGTGGACCGACCTCAAAATACCCAGTGGCCCTAACTGACCAATGGGCTACTTACATCTAGGCGCAATTACCAAAAAAGGGAAAATTCCACAAGTCGCCATACTTCTTCACATTCACTCTTTAGAAACAGCCCCCCCCCCACCCTCCACTGCCGGGTGGCAGAGAGCCTTTCCTTTGCTCTCCTGCCAGCGGATCCTTCACGGTGTATTCAATAAACTTCTTTCTCCTTTGCTCTGCCTCCGGTGAATTCTTTCCCCTCCCGCGCCGGTGGCTTCCACCCCATCTTCACCCCACATTTGGGGGCCCCCCCATCCGATCAGGAGAGACACCACATTTAGACACCACAAAGACTTCCTTGTAAGGTAAATGCTACCGCAAATTCAGAAATAATGATTTTAATAGTGTATGAAGTTATTTTATTATGCGTATCAGATAACCACTATCCCATATTTCACCAACAGAAATACAAGAACATTATCAGAGCGGGAGTGTTCCTGTTGATCAGATATGTATGTGAAGCCGCCAAACTCTGGTATCAGGGATTGTGTTCTTCTGGCCACCTGGGGAAAGAAGCAGCCAGGAAAATCTGGCTGGGGCTGGAAGAAGACTAATGTACTAATATTTATTTATGAAAGGCTCATATATTCTGCTCTTCCAGGAACTATTACAGGAAGGGTTTCACTGCAGTGCACCCAAGGTGAAAACAGAAACTGCAGTGTTTACTACATGGAAAAGCCACAACCTACCCCTGAAGAAACGTCAAAGGTTTTCTCTTTGACTTAAAAAGAAAAAATTAAAACCAATTAATTATGATCTCACTTATTTGACAGATAAGATAGAGAATTTTTAGCAAGATAATATGTTGTTTCATAAGCAAATCTCTTCATAGGCAAAAGAACGGTTTGTTGATGTTTTTGAAAGTTAATCAAGATTCCACATAGACATTAGGTTAATATTCGTATCCACTAGAAAGGGAAAGGTTCAGATAGTTTAACTTAACCCTTTTCATCTTCCAAAGAAGATTATTCATGTGAGTATCCTTGGTGAGCTCATTTTTTTTATGTAAAAGAAGTCCAGCATGTAATCAAATGAAGGCTCTAGGTAATCAAATGACCCATCAAATTAATTAGTAAGATTTCAATCCAGTGCAACTCGCATGCTAATTAACATGTCAAGTATGTACACACAAAATCTTCCCACACAAGTTATTGTGAAAAATCTTTACAAGTATGTATATATGGTTATAAGTGCATGATATGCCTCTGAAGCAACTACACAAGAACCTTCGAAGGAACAACGACCGTCTCCATCGAGGTAAGAAGTTGAGAAGTAGCTGAGAAGCGAGGAAGGCAGAAAAGGAAACTTTTTTTTTTTAGTTACATAATTTGGTATTTCTAGTTCTGTTCCATATGTATGTATATGAGCTATACAAAACAAATTTTTAAATATTTAAGCTTTGCACAAGACTTGACAAAAATGACAGAAAGGAGAAGGTGAAAGAGGCCAAGGAAAGAAAAGGGGTATGGGAAAAGATTTAACAAGGATGAGAGAAGAGAAGTAGGGAAAGGAAAGCATTTATAGGGTTTTATTTCTGTAATACTACCCTGGGCTGAACCCCCCCTACCCTTTCTTACTATCCTTCCCCCACAAAGTCTGGGTCCAGTTCGAGTTCTCTTCGTCTCTTGCCTGGTGGACTACCACAGATGCCTTTCTGTCTTCCCTGTTTCCAATGTTGTCTGCTCAAACCTACCCTCCACCCCACATGCCCTATATTATAACCTTTCAGTGGCTCTCTCTCTACCACCTGTAGGTTGTTCGCTGCCTGCCTCTCCATCTCTCTCATTTCTCCTACCTTGAATAAACTCTAGCAACCCTCAACCATTTATTTTTCCTTCAGCAGTATGTGCTAGTTTTATTCATCCTGCTATCATTCATGTGGTTCACAACACCTTAAAAAAAAACATGCTATGGCCTCCCCTCCCATTTTTTAATGACATTGTTTTATGATTATCTGTCTACGTTACTGGTTTCCTCCATGGGCTGCGATATGCCTTATTCCTACTCGCATGATTAGGACCCATTATTTGACCTGGCATGTTCAATAAGTGCTGACTAACGGTGAAAAGGAGAGCACCCTCAACCTACCTCTATTACCCTAAGAAAGGCATTTTACTTGATAACTTTATTTGTTTAATATAAGAGCTCAATATAACTAAAGAATGTATCTCTTCTGAGATTTTCCATTAGTTAGTGTTTATATTGTGCCTAGAACCCAAAGGTGCCGTTATCCATATCATAACATCATACTCTGGCTTCCTCACTTTTTTATTATGGAAACTTTGAAACGTAATCAAAAGTAGAGAGAAAGGTTCCATGAGCCCCAGGTGTCAACATCTTGCCAATATTGCTTCATCTACCCTCCCTATCACACATGCTGAAAGAAAATTTGAATCATTCAAATATTTTACCTGTGAACACTTTATCATGCTTCTCCAACACATTCAGACTTTTTAACATAACGTTGATAACAATGACTGGCATTTATCCATGGTATTGTAATCTGTCTGAAGATTTTGAATAATTATGTGAAAAAATCTAAATTCCAAAATCACTTTGGTTAGGTTTAAATAACTGGTTTGGGGACATTTCTCTTGATAGTAATTGGCCAGGGTTTGGTGAAAGTCAACAGTCTGCATTCTTGCAAAGAGCCAAGGACTGTGTGTTCAGGTCGGGCCTGAAGGGGATTAAAGGAACTCCGATGTGGAAGTTTCAGACATCCTAGCTCTGCCGCTCAAAGGGATGTTGCCTGTCCCCCCACTCTCCTAGGCACTAAATTCCCATCTGTATTTCTTTTTCAGGAAATATTAGTCTTTTTACTTGAATTAGCAAAGATAAGCCCAGAGCAATAAAAACTGTTATGTTTCAAAACTCTCATGCTTACTGTGATTGCCACAGCAATGATCCTTTTCTAAATATGTAAGTTATTTTAAATGGCTCAGGACACTCGGAGCCACTTTTAGTCCAATTCAGGAACTTTTTTTTTTAAACTTAGGTAAAAATGGGTATATAAAGTTATATTAGCTTCAGGTATACAACATAATAATTTGATATTTTCATACACTACAAAGAGACAGACCACAGGAAGTCTAGTTACCATCCCTTACTGTACAATTGACATCTTTCACCTGTTCTTGCCTACTCTCAATTCCCTTCTTCTCTGGTAACCACCCTTTTGTTTTTCGTACTTAGGAATTTTGTTTTGTTTTGCTTTTTAAATTCCATCCATAAGTGGATTCATACGGTATTCATCTTTCTCTGTCTGACTTATTTCACTTAGCATAATACCCTCAATATTCATCCATGTTGTCACAAATGGCAAGATTTTCCTCTTCTTTATGGCTGAGTAGTGCCCCATTGTGGGTCTCTACCACATCTCTTTTATCTATTCATCTGTCGACACTCAGGTTGTTTCCATGTCTTGACTGTTGTAAGGAATGCTGCAATAAACATAGGGAGGCATAAGTCTTTTAAAAGTAATATCTTTATTTTTTTCAGATAAATATTCAGAGGTGGGATTGCTGGATCATATGCGAGTTCCATATTTAATTTTGTTGAGGAATCTCCATACTGTTTTCCACTGTGGCTGCACCAATTTACATTCTCACCAACAGTGCTCAAGGAGTCCCTTTTTCTCCATATCCTCACCAATGCTTGTTTTTTCCTGTCTTTAAGTTTTGTGTTTTTTTTTTTTTTTTTGATGTTTATTTCTTTTTGAGAGAAAGAGACAGAGCACAAGCAGGGGAGGGGCAGAAAAAGAGGGAGACAGAGAATCCAAAGCAGTCTCCAGGCTCTGAGCTGTCAGCACAGAGCCCAATGCGGGGCTCAAACCCACAAACTGTGAGATCATGACCTGAAATGAAGTCTGATGCTTAACTGATTGAGCCACCCAGGTGCCCCAGTTATTTCTTGTCTTTATGATACTAGCCATTCTGACAGGTTTGAGATGATATCTCATTGAGATTTTGATTTGCATTTCCCTGCTAATTAGTAATGTTGAGCATCTTTTTCACATGCCTGTTGGCCACTTATAGATCTTCTTTGGAAAAATATCTATTCAGATCCTCTGCCCATTTTTTGATCGGATTGTCTGTTCATTTGCTATTGAGGTATATCAGCTCTATATCTTTTGGATATCAGCCCTTTATTGGATATATGATTTGAAAATATCTTCTCACATTCAGATTACTTTTTTATTTTGTTGATGGTTTCCTTCACTGTGCAGGAGCTTTTTAGTTTGACGTAGCCTCGTGTGTTTATTTTTGCTTTTGTTGCCATTGCCTGTAGAATTAGAGCCAAAAAAAAACATATTGCCAAGAGCTATGTCAAGGAGCTAAGTTCCTATGTTTTCTTCTAGGAGTTTTGTGGTTTTAGGTCTTACTTTCAAGTCTTTAATCCATTTTGAGTTGATTTTTATATATGGTATAAGATAAGGGTCCAATTTTAGTTTTCTTTATGTGACTGCATCCAGTTTTCCCAGTACCTTTTATTGAACAGATTATCCTTTCCCCATTGTATACTCTTGACTCCTTGTGGTAAATTATTGTCCTTATATACATGCACTTATTTCTGGGCTCTCTACTCTGTTCCATTGATCTATATGTCTGTTGTCTGCCAATACCCTATTGTTTGATTACTATAACTTTATAGTATAGTTTGAAATCAGGGAAGGTAATACTTCCAGCTTTGTTCTTCCTTCTCCAAATTGCTTTGGCTATTCAGGGTCTTTAGTGGTTCCATACAAATTTTAAAATTATTTGTTATAGTTCTGTGAAAAATGTCATTGGAATTTTGATAAGGATTGCACCGAATTTATAGATTGCTTTGGATAGTATGGACATTTTAAAAAATTTTAACCTTCCAATCCATGAGCAGAAAATATCTTTCAATTTATTTGTATCTTCTTCAATTTCTTTAACCAATCCCTTACAGTTTTCAGTGTAAAGCTATTTTACCTCCTTGGTTAAATTTATCCCTAGGCATTTTATTCTTTTTCATGCCATTGTAAATGAGATTATTTTCTTAATTTCTCTTTCTGATAGTTCATCAGTAGTATATAAAAATACAATCAATTTCTATATATCAATTTTTTATCCTACAGCTTTACTGAATTTATTTATTAATTCTAAGAGTTTTTGGGTAAAGTCTTTAGGATTGTCTATATCATTATGTCATTTGCAAATAGTGATAGTTTTACTTCTTTCTGTCCTATGCAGATGACTTTTATTTCTTTTTCTTGCCTAATTACCACAGCCAGCACTTCCAGTACTATGTTGAATAAAAGTGGTGAAACTGGGCATCCTTCTATTGTTCCTGATCTTAAAGGAAAAGGTTTCAGCTTTCCACTGTTGAGTGTGGGGTTTTCTGTGGGTTTGTCATATGTGACCTGTGTGATGTTGAGGAGTTTTTCCTCTATCCTCACATTTTGAGTGGTTTTATCATAAATGGATGTTGAATTTTGTCAACCACTTCTTCTACATCTCTTGAGATGATTATATGGTTTTTATCTTTCTTTTCATTAATGTGATGTATCACATTAAATTATCTGTAGATGTTGAACCATCTTTGCATCTCTGGAATAAATCCCACTTGATCATGGTGTATCATCCTTTGAATGGATTGTTGAATTCAGTTTTCTAATATTTTTGAAGATTTATACATCTATATTCATCAAAGACATTGGCCTATATATATTTTTTATTGTCCTTGTCTGGTTTTGGTAGCAGAATAGTGCTGACCTCATAAAATGAGTTTGGAAGGATTCCTTTTCCTTCAAATTTTTGTAAGAGTTTGCAAAGGACTAGAAGCTTTACAAAAAAAAAAAAAAAAAGGAAAGTTTTTTTTTACATTTATTTATTTACTTTGAGAGAGAATGTGTGGGGGAGGGGCAGAGAGAGAGGAAGAGAGAGAATCCCAATCAGCCTCGATACTGTCAGTGCTGACCCGACGTGAGGCTAGATCTCATGAACCCTGATTGTGACCTGAACAGAAATCAAAACTCAGACGCTTAACCAACTGAACCACCCAGATGCTTCTCCAAAAGAAGAAAATTAAAGCCAATAAATCTAATTATGGACAACCTGCATCTTCAGCTAAGATAAATAAATAAACTTTCACTGAAGTGGTAAGAAATGTTACTGACCACAAACTCACTAAACAAAATACAAAATAATTTCCTAGTCTAGTAGTCAATGTCTACATCCCATTTAGGAGTAAGATGATGCCTAAGGTGATTTCATTGGCTATTTAATGAGACA